GTTAACTACAACTTCGTCGTTAGATGAAGGTTTATACTTGAATGAAATTTTTGTAAGTTGAACAAATTTAATTATCTAATTTCTGAAATTTAATTTAGGATTTACGGTCTCAAATACGTCAATCTGGAGGTCAGTACATATTAGACGAATACGAAAAAAATCAATTTCTAACGGATCGAACTAGGATTCACTTGGTGAATATTGTGGCAAACATTCTTTTTAACATATATCAACACAATGTTCCAAAACTGGAAAAGATGAAATATGCTGAAGAAATTGTTACCATATTTCCTAACTTAAAAAATCCCGTAAGTACTACTGGCGGTTATGTAAGTTTCAGGAAACTTGGTGCCGAATATGTATTGACTAAATTTTTAAAGGAAATGTTTTTCAACGCACAAACAAATGGAGGTTATTTGGCCAACAGACTACGAACTTTAAATAGAATTAACAAAACGAATAAGATCACTGAAAAAACTCTGCCTCCACCAAAAAAACCGAAACTTACCGAACCAGGCCCTAGTGAAGAATTGACCCTTGAAGTAGACGAAAATGTAATATTTTTAAAAGAAGCGGATCCAAAAACACAGGAACAAACTATCAAACTAAAAATGTTAGATACATTTCATTTTCGCAAATTTAAAAAAGACAATGTTTTAGAACTTTTCCCAAGATTTATAGACACATCTGGATTGGTTAGACAAATATTATTTCATTATATATTCCATTCAGTGTTTTTATTTTGTAGATTCAGCAAGATTTTAATTCTATGTTTCCGCATTGCGCAGACGATTTTGAGGTTCAATTCAAAAAGCAAAAAGAAAAAATTTTGAAAATTTGTTTAGCCGTGTCTAGTTCAGAACTAACGAACATTGAATACAATGACACAACGAAAACATTTTTTTCTTTAATTAAGATGCTCCCTCCATCTCCAAAAGCAAAACAAAAAGCGTCGAAAGTGTCCATACAACAAGCATTCTCCAAACTGATTGTGTTTCAGCAAGTATGCATTTTACTTATTGTTTTTTTTGTAAACCAATGTTTGTGTAATTTTTTAGAATAGCACGTCGCTGCAAGAAATAATCAAAAGTACAAAAAATACTCAGCCATTCATTCTGGCAAGAGGATACAACAAAGCAGCTGTTGATGAGTATGTAGTGATTGTTGATGGGAATGTTTTACCTGAAAAATTTTCAAATTTTGTATTAGCATTCGATTATTTATTTAAAGTTCACTTTGTATTAAATTTAAAGTATGATGTAAATTTAGAAACTTTTTTTAAATTTATTCAGGTTTACTTTTATAAGGTAGAAGTAGATTCGGTGACATTTACTCCAAAAATGCATGAATTAAGGGCACGTTTATCTGTGTAACAACTTGTTGAACAATGTATTTGAACTGTACGTATTGTAAAAAAAAGTTTTTTGACATTAGTCAATTTATGAAACATTTAAAAATTGCACATACACTTTACGATAACCCTAACTTACAAATAAAATGTTGTCATTCTACATGTTACCAATATTTCTGCACACTGAGTGGCTTCAGACGTCATGTAGTCAAATGTAAACAGTCAACTCAAGCACAGTCAAAATCAGTTTTAAGCAATGTAAATAAGTTAATTGCAAATGATGCTGCTCTTCTAGATGAATGTAATTCCGTTGATGAAATTGGCGAAACTAATATTAATTTAACATTTACAACTTTTTGCCAAAAACTGCTTTCATTACAACTGCCCATGTCTACGTTACAAACAGTATTAGATATTACTGGGGAAACTTTAGATACTGTCATGGAATATTTCCGTGAAAATTCTACAACCACTCCAGTTGTAGTACTCACGAATATGATCTCAAAAGAATATGACAAAATCAATACCACTTATAAAATTCAAAAACTAGCAAATTCAGCAGTTCAACCTAAAGAAGTAACAATAGGAAGTCGAGTAGACAAGGTTTATGACAAGAAACTGAATATTTATAGAGAACAGTTCAAGCCAGTCACGTTTTGTTACATATCTATAGTAGAAACTTTAAAGTATCTGTGCACAAATAAATTATTTTTATCATATCTAACCAAACGTACTTTCAGTGAGCCGAATGTGTTAAGACATTTTGTTGATGGCGAATATTATCGGTCGTGTGATTTTTTTAAAAATACTGATTTTCATTTTTTACTCCAGCTTTATTTTGACGAGTTTGAAACAGTTAATCCACTAGGAAGTAAAACCGGTGCTTACAAGCTAGGAGCTCTTTATCTCATTATTCAAAATTTGCCTTCCATTTTTAACGGAAAGTTAGAAAATATTTTTTTAGTAGGTTTGTTTCACTCCGGTGATATAAAAAAATTTGGCTTCAATAAAATTTTACAATATGTCGTTGATGAAATAAATATCCTAGAAATTGTTGGAATAATAGTTCATAATTTTGATAATCCCATAAAAGGAACACTGACATCTATTTGTCATGACAACTTGGGCGGGAACATGCTTCTAGGGATGGTAGAGTCATTTTCTGCAAAGTATTTTTGTCGATTTTGCCTAACTCCAAAAGATGACATTCAAACGGTAGTTTCTGAAGAAAATCTCACTATTCGCACTAAAGACGCTTATAACTTACATTGTGACGAAGTAAAAAATAATAAGGATCCAAACGTGCTATCTCATTTTGGAATCAAAGAGAAAAGTGTTTTAAATAATATGCATTATTTTAATATGTTTGACTGCCCAACAGTTGACATAATGCATGACATTTTGGAAGGCGTTGCTCAGTTTGAAATAAAATTATTATTGAAGTATTTTGTAGACAAAAAAATATTAACATTAGAGACCATTAACAACAGAATATTGGCTTATGATTATGGTTATACCGACCGATCAAATTTTCCGAGCCCTATAACATTGAATAAACCTGGTCATTTAATTAATCAGAAAGCCAGTCAAACGTGGTGTTTAATAAGATTTTTACCTCTTATATTTGGCGATTTATTGACTGATGAGTTAATGTCAAAATGGGAAGTTATTTTTTCGTTATTAAAGATTATGCAGATCGTATTTTCTCCAGTAATTCCTCGAGAAGAAATTAATACCTTAAAAATACTTATATCCTATCACCACCAGAAATTAAAAGAAGAATTTAACGCGAAGTTGTTACCAAAACATCATTTTATGGTACACTATCCCAGAATCATTAAAATAATGGGTCCATTAGTGCATATGTGGAATATGCGCTTTGAGGGTAAACATAATTTTTTCAAAAATACGATTGCTAAGTTAAAAAATTTCAAAAATATTTGTAAGATGTTAAGCTGCAGACATCAACAGTTTATTTTTTCTAAGTGGGAAGAAGGACATTTGCAAGAAACAACACTTTTTGGCCCTACAGTACTACTTAATATAACAACATACAAATACAAACATATTTTACTAAGTTATTTTGAAATGAGTGAAATTGATGCATCTATTATTTTAACAAAATGGTTACACTTTCGAGGAATTCGTTATAAACCAAAATTTTTAATATGTTGTTTGGTCTACAATAATACACCTGAGTTTGCAGAAATTATTGATATTTTAATTGTTGATAATGTACCATATTTTATTGCACTCCTTTATCAAACTCTTGACACATATTCTTATGGATATGTTATAACTCCAACAGATGAAATTGTGTTGAAAAATTTGAATTTTATACCTCATAAAGAAACTTATCATATTAGTCAAAAAACAGGAAGTGATGCTAGGTATCTTGTCCCAAAAGTTATATTTACGAACTATGTGCATTAGAATATTATAGGCATTTAATGTTTTTTTTAAGTGAGAATGTTTATTCAGTTTATTATTTTTTGTTGTTAATAAAGGTTTTGCAATAATATAATATTCTTTTTATTTACATCCGAGTACCGATTGATTTATCACCAGATGTAGTGACAATTTAATCATAAATTTTATTAAGTTTACACCTATAAGGATATCACTAACACCAATGTTTATAAAAATAACACCAGATGTACGATTCAATTAACACCAAGTTTTGGTGCTTAAAAAAATGGTGTAAATTTACACCAAACTATTGGGACCTCTGAGAGCACTGAATGGTGTTCTGTGGTGTGTTATGGTGTTCAATATTTTTTACTGTGTGTATGTATAATACCAATACATCGGGTATGTTTCTGTTTTTGTCTTCGTTCGACACCACTGTATTTACAGTATTTACGCAGGTATACGCTTCCGCCCTTAAAATCCCAGATACGGCATCCTTTGCTCACGTAAATACAGCGTCTAGAATGAAGACAGAAATAGAAACATATCAGATGTGGCGATTTACATATAGTTTTAGAACACCTTATCAAAATTAAAGAAAAACATTATGGTATTATTTGAAATTTATTGTTAAAGATTATATGGTCACTTAGATGTGGGTCGTCGTATTCTTTAAAAAGTGACCTTCGTCAGTGAGTTCGTAATGCTTAATTAATAATTATATTCAGAGCGAAAAATACAACGGCTTTATTAGAAATACACCAAAGACAAGTTTTTTTCATTGTAATAATTTCTAAGAATTATTTCTTCAAACTTGTTCAGTTGAAATGTTATTTTGTAAGTACCTGCTTGGTAAATTATAAATAGAACATATGGGGTAATATAGGGAAGACACAACGATACAAACAAAGTCATAAAAATTATTTGTCCGTTGTCCCTGAAACGGGACAAGGTTTTGAAGAGTTCATTCGTCGAATTTTGATTTTATAAAGACAATTATAAAGCGATGATGGGTACCAAAAAAATTAGAGAGTGGTTAATTTTTAATTTTATTAAATTTATTCCATCTAATGAAAAAATAACGCTCAACTTCTGCATTTACTATCCACCAGATGTTTGGGAGGTGCAGTCCGACGATCCCTTTACGTGCTTCTGTTGTTTTTGATAACTGTACGTAAATAACAAAAACAGTTTTTTCAGATAAGCTGGAAATACCACCATTAATCACTGAAGATACTCCCGCTGATTTTGAAGAAATTTACGGTGATTGTTTTTGAAAGTGAGGCGCTTTGCCATAAAATGTTGCAAAGGTATGTTACTGCAATTTTTTATGAACTAGGTGCTAGTGAACATAATTTTACTCTAGACTTGAAACAAATACAAATAATATGTGCGAAACAAAAGAAATTCGAAAGGAAACGAGTGAACAAATCTCCAACATGAAAACGTCATCAAATCTGACAAATCAAAAAGAAAACAGTAATAGAAGATATGCCGCCAGACCACAGCTAAACAAATTTTGAGGAATTAGAAGATTATCTTTGGATACTACAACAAGCAGGTTTCTTTGTAAGTTAAAAAATACAATAAATTTATATGTACTTACATATAACATAATATTTGATATTATATACAGGTAGATGCCTGCAATACTATAACACTTTTTAGGAACCTACTAAACATGACACATTTCGCTTAACACGTTACATACATAGTGGGTTGCAGAAAAGTCTTATAGTGAAGCACCCTGTATGTTATACATACGCGGTGACTTCCAAATAGATTCGGAAAAAAAAATTCTTTAATTGTCACACGGATTCAAAGTAATTAAATTGCTGCTCCAGTTTCAAGAAACAAATACGGAACATCTAGTTAAATGTCAATAATTTATTCAGTTTCCATTGTGACTAAATTTTTTCTTTGTTTTTGCTGTGTATTGCTTAGATGAAAACAAATAATGGCACTGAATGAGGTGTAGATGTTGATATTTTTTCCCCTCAATTAGGACTAGATAAAAGAAATTATTTAAAATTTTCTCTACTTCGTGATATTGTGGTTTTATTTTTCGAACTTATTTCACAGTCATTCGGTATACACATAAAAATATACACTTTTTCTTATTTCAGGAACTGCTATTGTCCCAGATAGGTGGTAATGGGAAAAAGAACAATGTGGAGCGTGTATTAAAAAAATATTTTTCACCGAATTTGCTGTAGCTTGTTCGTTCAGTAGGAAAATTCCAGAATGGCTGGGACAAAAACAATGAATATCATGAAAGGTATTATTTTGCAATAAATATAATTATTACAGTTTTTATTTTTGAAGAAATTACAATAAAGACCCATTCCGCAATAGACAATGCTGCTCAGAGTGGCTACGACATTCTAGTCAACGCCTGAAGAAAGAAAAAACAACCACAGTTTATAGTTTCTGCGTCTTTTTTTAAGTGTGCATTATATTGTATTATTTTCGAATTAGGAAATCATATATATATTTATTTATTTATATTATGAATTTATATTAATTTTTGTATTTTATTACTTATTACATATTATACATATTTTTTCAAACATTGAATAAAATAATTTACTGTAAGCTCTAAATTTTACTCTCCATATCCATATCCCTAAATGATACATATAAATGGTAACTAGACTTTTTGAAATGCCTATTCATATCGCATAGATCATGTTAATAAAATATACTGAGAGTCATATGTTTACGATGTTGTGATATATACGTAACGTCTATGTCCATTTAATACGTTATATTGGCGTTTAAAATAAAACGTAACAGATACATCAAAATATAGAGAATCTAGCGACATACTAACACAACGTTATGATGATGTACCAGCGAGCACGTCTCTAATCTGAAACAATGTGGATGTCACCAGTATGTTACAAGCATGGGTCACTGTTGATTACATTACATAGCACAGGGAAAGCAAATGTATGCAGTTTGGGATGTAACAGCTAACAAGATCGTAGACAGAGTTAAGTGGCATTAACACCGCTACGACGTAACTGTGTTTACTGGGGTATATTAAAATTGGGCAGCAAATACGCCATCAGACGTTGCCCTAGCCCTAACCGATGCTTCCCTAACCTCACAATTTGTAATGTGTTAGTCTGAAAGTCGATGAACTCTCAAATACTGTATTTTAAAAGCGAAACTTACCGTTTAACGATGTGCATTATATAACCATTAATAGTAGCCATTTCATACAAAATCTTCCCTACATTTCAAACACACTAACCATGCTTAACCACCAGATAAAACAGCAAAACTCCCAAAGTTAACTGTCACAATCACAACTAAGAAAACGTTATTTTGCAAAAATGTTTAACAGAATAAACGGTTCATGACGTATGCACAAACTTCTCCAAATTCAACAAACTACGTGCCACTCACGTTCCATTTCTTCCACTCGCCAATCGCCATTATCGCACGTTCACGGAACAATATATTCCCGGCAACTTTGTGCGCAGGTCCTGTGCAGAATCTCCTGAAAAATTTAGGTGTCTACGTAGCCACCGACGGTAATAAAAGAGATTGATATTAATTTATTTATTTTTATAAGTATTATGGATCTATAAAATGTGGGCGTAATTGCCAATTATGAATAAATTTGAATGTTGAAAACCTACTTATTTATGTCATAACCACTGTTTTGCATATTTAGGTATTATATTCCAAATTATGTCATGCTCAAATTGTTTATTGACCGCAACCGAGATTATTTATTTGGGTAAAGGCTCACTTTTTTGGAAACTGAAAAGTTAAAACTCCATTGGGTGGAAGAGATATAATTCGACGCTTCTAACATTTTAATACTTATATTGAAAGACAAAACTACAAACATGATTAAGGAAAAATTGGTTGAAGATTACTTAGACAGAACTTCCCTCGGCCATAAAGTACAGTACATCAACTCCATCTCTTTCGAAAAATGAAAAGATTTGATTTCGCGAATTTTATTTTTTTATGACAACCATTATAAGTTAAAATAAAGATATGTATTTAATGTTCAAGTAAAGGTAAAGAAACGTGCTACGCGTTTGTTTCAAGTAAGTATTTCTGTTACAAAATTCTATAATTAAAGTACTAGGAAAAATAATTGCAAACGCCGTCAATTACTTTATGAGGGGTCTTTAGTACTTTGGACCGCAACCTGCAATAAAACCATTACGAACCCTTCACAACGGAGGTATGACTTCAGCCAGAGCCGGACTTCAAATTTTGGAGCGTTTATATATGAATCATGGTAGAGTTCATTTTTATTGAGATTTTTCTAGGAAATATGTATTTGCAAAGATTTAAAAATAAGTACCACACTTTCATGTGTCCTTAAATTTTAAGATTAAATCCTTGAAAGTGGTCCGTTTAACAATCTACCTGTTCACATATTGAAACAAATACGGTCCTGGAAAGGTAAAGGTCGCGAGTAATCTTAATTGACAGTTTTATGCTGGGTGCAGTTTCCGAAGTGGTCGGAAATTTTACAGCTGCAATTCTCATACTTGGAGTCATTTGCAATATCTTTCGTCGTACAATACGTCAATACGTCATTAACATCTTTTGCAATAAGGACACGTATATCAGTTTTGATAAATGCAGTATAACACTAACGATGAAAGTATTGTTTTCGAAATTTTAAGAAAATGGAGTGACGCATGTGTAATAGTAGAGGCACAGGTATAGGTGTGACTGAAGAGTGAACTAAAAATCATTTATATTTATAGTAGAAACTCGGAATTTAACAATAATAGCGATAACACTTGTCGAGAGCATATACGTGAGTGTTTCCAAACGCTCACAAAAATTTAAAATGTCTTCAATGGTCGTTTGCAAGAGGAAATTGTTTTAACACCAGGGCCAGATGTTAAGTATATCAAAATTTAAATACGCCCCTATTACTTTTATTGCCGGATGTTGAAAGAAGTTTTCCTCACTAAAGTTGAGAGGTAGAGTTTGGCGATGGACAATTTAGAAAAGTATTTAATAACATATAGTTTTAATTTAAACAAAAATAATTTAACATATTCTAAACACTGTTACCTATTTATTAAAAATAAGTAAATAAAATTTCAGAACAAAAATATTTTAGTTTTGCCTATAAAAGTTCACATTATATCGTAAAAAATATTGATGCAGTATCCATATGACCATAAATATGATCGGAAAAGCATGTTTAAGTGGATATTCTGCTAATTTTCCTGTATATTTGCTTGCATATTTTAGGAGTTTTTTAGTACATATTCTTCAAGCTCTTAAGAAAATATCTATTGATTTTAATTTTCCAACTATTATGCATCGAATTTATTATCAAGCAGTAATGATACGATTCAAATAGATTTCAAATGAATATTTGAAGTGCGGTTAAATTTTGTTCAATAATCATATATACCTCTTTTTTAGGATTTGGTTTTCCCCAAAACTTTAAGTGATAACACTATAATGGTGTTTTGGTTATGATGGGCGGCAAAATACGTTACACATTTATTTAAAAAAAAATCGTTTTTTAGAATGTTTTGTATTTGTTTAAAATCAAAGCCTTTAATCCAGTCAAAAAAATTATTTCTGCGAAGTTTGTTATATTGCCTAGAAATATATATATCATATATTAAGTCTTCAAGTGCTACCGTAAGATTGAAAGTGGAAAACGCATTTCGCCTTATGCATATAAATTTTGGGGCAACTAATGAAACTAATCCGTTAATCTTCGCCCACCCAAGCTTTAAATTTTTAATATAATAAGTTTGGTTTTGCCTTCTGAACTTGTCTGTTCTTTTCTGTTGTATTATAAAAAAGTTCAGTTAGAATTTATGTAGATATATTAATTAAAAAAGAAATAAAACCAGCATCCCAGGTAACATGCATTTCCAAGATAAGGAGTTAGTTCATCAACAATATATCGTCAATGCCTTTGCTGATTTCTTCAGTTCGGTCTTCATTAGTGACATTCCCTGTGATAATTCAACCTTCTGTGATAATAGTTACTAGTGATATGTTTCCAGTGTTAAACAATTTTGCGATAACAACCTGTGATATTTACCAAGCTCTTAAGAAAATTAAACCAAATTTTACAATGGGACCTGATAATGTGAATTGACGATATCAATTTTCTAGTCCCGCGTCTAAATAGTCGTTATCATGAAACATTTTCCATAGATATATGCAGAACAAACCAACATTATTATGCACCGTTGTATTTACCGCTGTTACAATATTGTAGCGTGTGTCCTAGACAAAATAACGTAACAACATTTAGGCGAAAGAGTAAAAAATTATATTGTGTTAATTATATGTACTTATTCATATTGTGTCATATAATATTTCCTGTTTGTATTTTTCTTTTTCTGTTCTCTTTTATAATATGTAGTCCATTCTAGTAGGCATGTTATAATTATAAAGTATAATTACAATGCATTTATCCTATTAGACTGTTTGTCTGCTGGATAATAAATACATTTGTGGCGGTACAATAACACGTCGGTAAGCGGAGAAAGATAAGTGGCCTCCGGGTCTAGTGGTCAGGATGCTTGCCCGGAAAGCGAAAGGCGTGGGATTCGATTCCCACCGTGACAACAACATTTTTCTTCGCTTACCTTCACACTTATTTATTTATTTATTTATTTATTTATTTATTTTATTTATTTATTTAATGCCATACTTGAATCTTCAAACTGCCGTTTTTTAGCTTATGCTAATGATCTGAAAATTTATTTTAAAATCTCAAATCTTTATGATGCTGCGCTTTTACAAGGTGAACTTATGAGAATCGTTGAATGGTGCTATCTACATAGACTTATTATTGATAGTACTAAATGTTGGTACATTTATATTGTCGAAAACTTAACATCGTTGATTTTTCTTATTCAATGAAACGAAAAATCTCAATCAAAGATCTTGGAGTTACTTTTGATAGTTGCTTGAGTTTTTATAATCATGTTACCAATATTTGCAATGCTGCAAATAAATCTTTGGGGTTTGTCATGAGAACGTCAAAATCAAATTAGAGTATGCTTCATTAATATGGTATTATCCGGCCAGAGGCCAGAGGTGTTGAGATGGAAAGTCTTCTCCAACGGCGCAAGATGTCCTTTTTGTCGGTTCGAAGGGCTCTTCATGAGGCTACCTATTCGACAATAAACTACTATTATTATTATTATTTATGTACGAAAATCGTTTATTAATAAGAGCTATTAATGCAACCAGATATACACCTCCCCACCTAAAATGTCATATTTCTAAAATGTCAAAAATTTCCTGCATTCAGATTCAAAATGGATA